TCAGTTGTTATAGTGAATTTATTTAAATCTGTTCTTGGCAAATCGACCACTTTAAACCACTTTTTCTAGAGAATGGAGCCTGATGCCTGTCTGATTTAAAAACTCTTTGTAATAATTCTAATGCTGTGAGAAAATCCAATATCCTCCTCACCAATGAGCCATTTTTTGATTTTACAGATGCTGATGACTATGAGTTACTTAAGAGGAGGAAAAGGAGGAGAAAGAAAAAAGGGTTACCCATTACCACAGAGGAAGTATCCACCCCTCCAACAGAGGGCGATGTGCTCGGGCAAACAGATGCTGCACATCCCAGTGATGAAGTGGACACTAGAAGCTCAGTCAGCACAGAGCGGCTCAGCAAGAACAGAAAGAGGAAGATGAAGAAAAAACGTCACAAAGAAAAAGTCCTCACTCTTGGATTGATGCCTCGAGCAAGAGCTGTTGAATTCATGTATGCGCAGAGTGGAGATGGAAATTCAGAGGAGGTGCTCAACTTCCTTCGTACCACACAGGAGATCTACCTCTCTGATCGCAAATCCTCTGGTATAACATTTAACTATACACTAAAATTATTACTTTTTTCCATATTAAGGATGTAAAAGACATTGAGGATATACTGTACAAAAAAACAGCATTTAAATGAAACAAATTTTTAACAATGTAAAAATGTAATGCATCTTTATTGAATAAATGTGTTTATTCATATATATGTATATATAATAGCAATAAAATAAACATATACACTCAGAATTAACAAACTTATTCAAAATTAGTTTGGATTTCTCATCTTGAAAAAGACACAAAGTTAGTAATTTGTAGGTTTAATTCACACAAATCTTGAAACAAAAGGCAATCAGACCGTGCTACTCTTCTCTTCAGGCTCCTGTGTAGAAAGTGGCCCCTCTCTTTCCCTCACTGCAGCGGAGGCTCTGTTCTCTCGTCTCTCAGGCAGGACACTGCCCCCTGCTGAGATCTCAAGGCTGTGTGGACTCAGGGCTGTACTGGTGAAGAATGAAGAGCAGTTAAAATCAAAGCTGCAAGAATTCAGAGATACAAGCACATTACTTGCAGGTGAGTGAGGGCGCTTAGACATGTCTGAACATCAAGCATATGTGTTTTTGATTCATTGTAATGGCTGCAAACAATAGAATACAACTCAGAGAAATATTAGCCATAATCCTTTAATATGTCTTTCTTTACTCAACATTTGATCTTACTGCCAAAATAAATTTCCACACAGGTGTCCATGGTGACTCCTAAACATAGCCTCCGTCTCCACGACAACCACAGGACATGCCATTTATCCATTTTTTCACCCATACGCCATTATTTTCACCAGTAGTTGCAGCAGGTCATTGACCCTGTTACTCTGCTGTTGAAGCAGTGTGGTTTCCCTCAAACTTCCTAATAACAAAAATTTGTATGGAAATACAGGTGCAATGGTGCATTTCAGTTTCAAAGCAGTTTTTTTATTATTATTTATCAGTTATTTAACCAGGCCAGTCCCATTGTGATTTTGATCTCTTTTACAAGAGATATCTGGCCAAAATATCAACCAAATTCAGACAGTAGAAAACAAAAATAGATAAAACCTTGGCGATAACATTAGAACACACATAAACATGGGTAAATGTGATATTTAGATGATTGTTTCTTTCTCGTTCTTGTTTTACAGATGAGGTTTCAGTAGTCTGCACTCTTATTGAGTATTGGCTGGCAGAGATTCTGCCCATGCAGAGACCGCAGAGGACATGACGCCCTCAGATTCAGTGCCTGAGAGGAAAATGACTGAATAACCAACAAGTCTCTGATTGTAATATCTCATTATGAAAGAGATCTTCAGTCATGCTGTTTTATAGTCAAGGAATTCCAGAAACTCGGCATCAATCAGCTGCAGCAACAATTTGGATTCCTTTTGAAGACCAAGAATGATATATTCTAGTTTATCTTGCCTTCACATTAATAATTACCTAAGAAAAATATTTTTTTTCTCTGCTGCTTGTTCTTTCTTCATAGGGCACCAGTACACTCTCAGAGATGTTCCACAAAGTATATTTCTTCAAAACAAACACTAAAGTATCGTTCTTCTGCTCATTATGAGGAGTCTGTGGTTTAGCCTCTTAGCAGCTAGTTATCTTAACATCACAAAGTCAGCAGCCCCTCACTGATCTCACAACAGTTAAGCTTTTGCACAGTAGACTGCTCGCTAACATCATTTACCCAAGCCAGTGCCTCATTTACATTTTCTTTTTCTATTCAATGAGCTACTTTGGGCCATCGATGTGACGATCCACTGTGACTTTCAGTGTGACTAGAAAAATATGTTTTAGTGCAGTTGAAGATATTTATTAAAGTTTTAATTCAATTTGTGAGAGAAAAACAAATGTGTGCTTGTTTTCAATGATTGTTTGATATACCTATACCTGCACTGCACTACATACTATGATCCATTTAAACTGATTCAATGGCTTATCCATGACGTCAAGGAAGGATGACTTTAGCTATACAAGCGTCTCTAGACTGCTCTGTGTGTTTGTGCTAATCTGTGACGCAAGGCAACCCACAACATAGGTTTGGATGCCATTATAGGTTCACACAGATCTGGGTTGGCTCAGACAGAGAATACGTTTTTTTTATTGCTTCCCATTAGGTTACAGTGTTTAGAAATAATAACCTTGCTGTTTCTCTCAGCTGGAATATGATGTGGAGGACACAGCAGATGTGATGATGTTATTATAGCGGCTGAAAAGAACAAAATTAAATTGCTACGGTTTATGGATCAGGACTGAATATGCCCTCAGAAGATGAGAGGCAATCCTGCAAAGAGGTGGAGCAAATATCTGCCAGTCATAAGTGCTCGGAAAAGCAATTTAATTTAAACCTATTAAATGATCTGCCACTGAGTGAGGTCTGTTTGTTTAACAGGTCCTCATAAAACACAAGATTTGTGTTTCAAGGCACTGAACTCACAGACAGATAAAACGTGTGGTTGAAGGGTCTATAGTACTGTGTTGGGAAATACAATATTCTGCTGTCCCTCGTTTATTATGTTCTCTACCCTGAGGCAGAACACTAGACAGGTTCATTTTGAAGTGTAGCAACAAACAGATGTTTAACTAGGCGAATAAGTGAGACATAATGTTGGCAGAAACATCTACGATATCCTGTTTTTGTTTCTAGGATCTTCACTAGCATCCATAAGTCCTATTATCTCCAGTTAGGTCTTTAATTGACCATTATTACATTAGAGATTTGTTGGATTTACATTCCATTATAAGTTGTTGTAGAATTATCATAATTTACATTAGTGTATTCTGTGATTGTTTTAACATTTAATATTTCACAGCCAAATTAAATGAGTCATCAGTCAGGCAGGTTAATGTGTTTCTAATTAAACATAATCTGAAGGTTAATGTTTGTCAGTTCATCATACAATATAACCATGTATTTCCACTCTCTTTCAGACATCTGCCATACAGACTGTGACCCACAGAGCTCACAAATTTGTAGTGCCACAGGTTGCTGTTTTTCTGGGTGCGTTGGGAATTGCGATGTCTGGATACAGCTCTCGCCAACTCGCTGTTCACCACCATCCCTCCACACGCATCCTGAGCTGGATGTCCAAACCTGCCATTAATGTTGATAGCCCAGGTTCCCCAGGTCAAGCCCGTCTGGCTTCAGCCAATACTGCCATGGCATCCATCAAAAAAGATGAACAGGATCAACCTATCAAAAACACAGGTGACACCGAGCAACCTGTGAAGGCATCACCTGGCATATGAAAAAAAAAAAGAAAACTTCAGCCATACAAGGGACTTGTGAGGTCTTACTGTGTAAGATGGAGCATAGTCAATCATTTAGTCTGTAGTTATTTGGAAAGTGCCTTTGTACGAGAAAGCCTGTTTGCCCTAATTAGATTGTGTGTATTTATGAGGTTGGCCGAAGTTGCACAAATGATTCAGCAGATCTGTAATAAAGACCAACTGTCAGTTTGCTGATGAGTCATACATTAAGGTGACATCCTAGTGAAAATCACCTGCATTTTTTTTTTTTTAAATCTGTCCAAATATACAAGCATATTTGTTTGATGATGCCATGCTTGAGCACTGTCACTGGTCGAACGATAATGTGAAATCCACTGATTTTCAATTTGCTGAATCAAGCCCACATACCAGCCATAATTTGCACACGTCACTCAATGACATCCTGATGACTGGTTCATTACTTAGAAATGTATTTACAGTCACGATAACACCCACTGTGACAGTCATGTTTCCTAAACTGAATCACTTCCTGCAGATTAGTTTGCTGAATTTATTTACTGGTCTTGTTAATGAGATGTAATCATACAGGTAGGCTGTAAATGAGTCGGGAGCTGGTTCTCAAGTCTTATAGAGCGAATATGGTGTGTTCAAAAACAGTACTGTATACAGAACAGAATGCAACTACATGCAGATATTTGGGATGATTGTATAATCTTTTTAAATGCTTATTTTAGCTGTTTTATATGGCTACAGTATTACAACCCTAATAACAGTCTATATTATAAACAATAAATACAAAATATTTATACATTTAGCTCTGCATGAATTTGCATGTTATGCAAATAAAAACTACAACTAAATAAACAAACTTAAATAAAAAAAATATTTTTCTTAGCCTTTTTTTTAAGTCAATTAGTTTCATGGTGTATGTTTTTTATTGCGGTAAAAAAAATCACTTAAGCTTTATTGCATTGCAGTCATTCAGGTCAGATAAACTATAGGCTAAACAACATTATCTTAAACTTCTGTTGCTCCTCAAGGTAAGCCTTTAAATTAGGATAAGGATTAGGGTCAGCATCAGGTCAGAAATTAAGTTTAAGGTGAACTGACAGGCTGCCTGTATTGTTCATTAAACTTTATAAATCATACTTGAACTGGCATAAACCCTTAATAATGATAATGTTAATGAGAAGAATGTACTCACACGTGACTCCTGATGGAAAGAAACTCAACTCGTATGTTAAGGGTGTTTACGCAGGCTGCCTATGTGATTTGTTGCTCCTTCAAAAGCTGAGGACAGTAAGTTTATTTGAATGAAGCTTTAGACCTAGTTCATGCTGTCTCCAGTAGTAGGCTAGCACTCCTCAGTCCTCATGAGGGGGCAAAAGGACAGTTTACCCACATCCTGCACTGCAGTCTGCTCATGATCTGCTCTTGTCCCGTGAAGCCATGCGACTCCACCAGCGACAGCATGTAAAACTTGGAAGTCAGTCCCGGGAAATACAAGACCTTCGATTAGGTGTGTAAGCAACAAAAACTATCCATTATTATTGTTTTCGCTATCGTATAGGTGTTATATATTAGTCATTTGTATAAGAATTGTATGCGGTCATTTTCTCCTATATTGAAATGCTCTCTGTCCGTGTAATCTGTTAATTCATTATCTTGCTTTAAAGTAGTAGTAGTAGTAGTAGTAGTAGTAGTAGTTGTTGTTATTGTTATTGCATCTTCATTAACTTAGTTAAAAGTTGCTAGTTCATTAAAGTGAAGTTATAAGTGATATTAAAGTGATATTAGATGTAAAGTAGGAGAGACTGTAAGTAGTAGTAGTAGTAGTAGTAGTAGTAGTAGTAGTAGTAGTAGTAGTAGTAGTAGTAGTAGTAGTAGTAGTTGTTGTTATTGCATCTTCATTAACTTAGTTAAAAGTTGCTAGTTCATTAAAGTGAAGTTATAAGTGATATTAAAGTGATATTAGATGTAAAGTAGGAGAGACTGTCAAGTGTAACACGCGGAAAGTTTTAACCAATTAGAAATTATAAAAAGGTAGTGGTTAATTATTGTTTTAACCCTGATCTGTTCTATTAGACTACAACAGTATTAATTCATTAGATTTAATTAATTCATTTGATTACACTACAAAAATGTTTTTACATACTACTGCAAAAAAAAAACTAAACAAAAACGTTATATTGTATGATGAACTGACAAACGTTATTATAATTGTTAGTAGTAGTAATATCGATATTAATAAGAGTAATGCTTAAAATGTATGCTAAGTTCTATTGGGATCAACATGGTAGCAAATTTAATTCCATGTTTGTTTTGGTTCTCTCTGACTGCTAAGTTAAAAATCCTATGCATTGTTCACTTCAGGCTGAATGACAATGAAAAGTTATTATGCAAACAATACAATTTACTTTACCTGTTCAACATACAGTGATGTAATGGCATTGTTGGGTGCTGTTCTTCCCTGATAGCACACGTACATCACGGAGACGTCTATTTGATGTCTGCATTTACATCTGCAAGATGTATTGCTATAGGACATTTCCTATCAGATGTCAAATAGACGTTTAGAAAATGTCTTTAAGATGTTTAAGATTTAATGAATGTATGTAAAACCGACATCTTAAAGACATCTATCAGATGTTTGTACACAGCAGATGCTTTCCAGATGAAGCGATCTTTAACAGACATCTTGAAGACGTATGTGTGCTATCTGGTACCAAATGGTGCCATTTATCAGCAGTCTTTATGTTATGACAACCAGTAAAAAACTGTGAATATTAATGAGTCAAACGGATTGTCAGTCTATCTCTTCCATACAAGACCCAATTTTATATTCTATATTTTAATTATTTTGAAATGACATCTAAACTAAATGTGTTACAACACTCCCTGGTCTTCCCTAATCTATGTGGTCCTCCTCACTTTCACTGCAGTGTAAGTTTAGCAGTGTCCATGGGCTTTTGCATTTTCATGCAAACCTTACCACAAACCTCATTCAAATTTCCCTACCATTGGTGGAGAGCTTTCTGAATATATGTGAACTCAGTATGAGCAGAGATACTAATACAAAATCTTTTTATCTTTAGAGTTATGGATATGTAGTTTTGACAACACCACTGTGTTTGGTTATTGGATGAAAAGTTGGACATAGACCACGTGTGTGCGAATAAACTATGTGTATTATTTTTTTTGACATCTATAGAGTGAAACAAGCTGTTGGTAACATGGGGAATAACTCTGGAAAAGAACGACATGGATCTGCAGGTAACTAGCTTTTGACAGCAAACACACAGATATTCAGTGTTTTATTGAGATACCCCCCAAGGCGCAGGGACATACAAAGGGATTTTTCACAAGAGAAAAAATAACAGCAGAGACAGAGAGAAAGATATAGACATATAAAAATAAAGAAAGAAAAGAGTGCTGTGTGAAAAGTAGATTCTAGGTATGTGTATGTTGAATATTGAAAAAGAAAGAACTGCAGGAGAGTTATTAAATGTATTAGAGCGAGAGTCATTATTGGAATACTGTATTGTAAATTCTTCCCTGTTATTGGTGGTGTCCAGAGCCCTCAGACTCACTGACTCAGCAAACCTTTCCCACCCATGGAGACAACAAAGACTTCTTAATGGAGAACACCCCCAGACTCACACACATTCAATAAAATCTGTTCCTGTTGGTAAAAAAAAAAAAAAAAAGCAAATAGTGAAACCTGCCTTTTTTTTGAAAACTAAAAACTTTTCTCAAATGATTAGTTCACACAAATTACCCATTTACTCACCCTCATGACATTCCAAATCTGTATGACTTACTTCTGTACATGGTGCAAGTGTCATATATTTAGTCCATATGACTAGTGCACTAAGTATTCTAAAACTATACAATAGCTTTGTGTGAAGAACAGACACATTTGTAAGTTGATATGTGGCAAAATTTGCCAATGGAATATGAAAAATAAATTGATTTTCTTTTTTTTATTGCAACATAATAAGGGGATTTATATACAACATTGTTTGATGATGGGTTTTACAGCGCTTAAAGGGATAGTTCACCCAAACATGAAAATTCTGTCATTAATTACCGATCTCCTTGCTACGTTTCTGGACGTTGATCGTGGTAGTACCCTTGCTGTCTATGGGAGGGTGAGAGAGCTGTCAGAATGCATCAAAATATCTTAATTTGTGTTCCAAAGATGAACGGAGGTCTTACGGGTTTGGAACGACATGAGGGTGAGTAATTAATGACAGAAGTTTAAGGGAATAGCAAAAAACAAAGACAAGCATAGTGGAAATACTAAATGCAAAGAGGTTCCATAGTCTCTCAAAATAATCTGAAAATAGTTATTATGTCCTTCATACTGAATTCTTACTAATTTGACTGATCTGAGAAGGAAAAGAAAAGAAAAGTTTGTAAAAGATGCTCTTAAAATAGGGGCAGAATGATAAAGGATATATTATATGTAATTTAATATATAAAAAATAATTAATATTATTTATTTATTTCTATTATTATTATTATTATTATTTAAAAATGCATTTTAATTGGTAGTCATATAATTCTGTATCCAGACAGTGTCTTCTTGTCCCCTGAAATCATGAATATTAACCACATTCTGAACATCGGAAATAAAGTTTCATTTCTGTGACACACTAATCTACGCACACAAGTTATCATGTCAGGAAATGTTTTATATAAAGGAACATCTATCAGTTCTGAGAGCTCCACCTCTGTCTCTCTGCAGGCACTGCTGCGGACACGTATGAAACACCTCCTGCCTCACCGAATAGTCTTATTTCTACCTGCTCACCAACCACTCAGCTGGTGTCCATTTCCAACTATACAAGCACAGCCATCCCTGAAACGGCTCAAGACACTCTGAGTTCCACCAGTCAGAATGATGAGCAATTGTTGGACTGCAGGACAGGGCCTGCGATGGAGGCTGAGGATGGATTCAAGATGACAGAATCACCTAGGCAGGTGTCTCATCCTTCAGGTGTGTATGTGAATGGAAACACAGAAGTGGACGCAAAACTCCTACAGGAGTGTTTAAACACACTGCAGCTCAACAACAATGAAGAATCCACATACATACTGAACGGTGAGTCAGGCAGTCATGCTGTGTCCACTCATTCATTAAAGGGGTCATATGATGTTACTAAAAAGAACATTATTTTGTGTATTTGGTGTAATGAAATGTGTTTATACGGTTTAAGGTTAAAAAAACACATTATTTTCCACATACTGTACATTATTGTTTCTCCTCTACGCCCCCCCTTTCTGAAACGCGTAAATTTTTTTCAAAGCTCATCGTTCTGAAAAAGCAAGGTGTGCTCTGATTGGCCAGCTATCCAGTGCGTTGTGATTGGCCAAATACCTCAAGCGTGTGACGGAAATGTTACGCCCTTTACCATACTGTGATGCCGTGTCCCGGCGCGATGAGACAAAAAATTTAAAACCCATTATAAACGAGGCATTTGTTGCATCCAGTGGGTGTCAGGGTTCTGTCACTTCGGTCTAGTGTAATTCATAGCTTTGTGACAGAGCCCTGACATTATTTTCCACATACTGTATATTATTGTTTCTCCTCTATGCCCCACCTTTCTGAAACGCATCAAATTTTACAAAGCTCATCGGTCTGAAAAGCAAGGTGTGCTCTGATTGGTCAGCTATCCAGTGCATTGTGATTGTCCGAATACCTCAAGCGTGTGACTGAAATGTTACGCCCCTTACCATACTGTGATTCCGTGTCCCGGCAAAAACATTAAAACCCATTATAAACGAGGCATTCGTTGCATCTAGTGGTGACATAATTACGGATTATAATGACTTATACTGTCTTTTTACGCGTTGCGTTGCATCGCGCAGCGTAAACACAAAACCCTGTCTGCATTTGTGATTGGAGAAATGACAAACAGCAAGCGCTACTCTACACTGCTCAAAACTCGCGTTTGAATTATGAAAACGTACTTACAGGTTGTGAGTCAGCATTATTTGTCAGAACACCGGAATTGTAGTCTACTCTACCAGGATCAGGAAACAGTCCTCCATAAAATGCGCTGCACACATCTGAATATTTGAGTTGGACTGTTCTGGAACAGTGTTGTAAATAAAACTTAACCACTGATTTCTAGTCGTGTCCTCTTTTGGAAGACCAAACAAAGTATTTTTGCTTTCGCAAAGAAACACACAGCGTCTTCACAACATGGCGGCAGCGGTGGCAGCAACTAGTGATGGGTCGTTCTTGAACAATTCATTCATTTTGAACAAATCTTTAATGTGACTCGGGAAGAACGAATCGTCTCAGGGAGTGATTTGTTCAGTCACGTATAGGTTCTATACTGGAATTAGTCAAGTAGTTTACCTTTTTCGAGTCTTCGGGTTTTTCAAGTCATTCGTTCATCACGCGACGGCCCCATAAGCTTAACCTATGCAGTCTGAGCTGGAAAGAGACTTAATAATAATAACCAACTCTTTATTACCTTTGTTACAACATTCAGTGTTATGGAAAAGAACCATCATGACAGAAATTCACACATTATAAACTGTAAGAAGTAAAAAGTTACAATTTGAGTCCAGAAACGCATCACGTAACTGTAAGAGTAAATAATAATGATATTAATAATAATAACTATGCACCCGTTTATAAGGAAGTTTGTTAATTAACTAATTTCTCTATCCAATGCTGTCACGTCACGTGACAAAAAAACGAACGATTCGAAAGACTCGAGAGATGAACTAATCAGTTCTCTTTCCGGCTCAGACCGCATAGGTTAAAGCTTATGGCACTGTCACGTGATGAACGAAAGACTCAAACCCGAAGACTTGTCAGATAAGAGGTGAGGTGAGCTAATCATAGACTGAAGACCCAGGTAAACACTGAATTCATCTGTTCTGTTTCTTAATAGTTTTGTATTGTTTGTAGTGTGATCAACGTTTGCGTGAGTAGTAGACGTGTTAGGGAAGTAACACATAACATTTTAATTATATTTTGCTAAAATGAACGAAAT